GGCTGCTGTTAAGTGTGGTTGAGTCAGTTCCCACTCACCTAAGGTGACCAGATTTTCACATCGGTAAAGCGGGACACCATTGATAAACCTCCTATCCTGGCGAAATAGCCACATGGCAGCCGAAAATTGTCTACCCTAGCTTGTCGTGCATTCTTTCCAAAAATCAGGACTTTTTTAAAACGCCGCGGGACGCGGGAAACATTGTTAAAAATCGGGACTGTCCAGCCAAAAGCGGGATGTCTGGTCACCTTACACTCACCGTGACCCTGGATCACTGCCTGGTCTGGCACCACCTTTATGTTGTTACATTTGAGCCCACTGTCACAGTCACTGTGTCCATCCATCTTGTTGAGGGTCTTCCTCTTTTTTTTGCTGCCCCTCCACTTACCCAAGTGTGATGTCCTCCTCTAAGGGCCGGTCCCTCCTGACAACATGACCAAAGTACCCGAGAACAAGTCTCTCCATCCCGGCTTCTAAGAAGCATCCTGGCTGTACTTTTTCTGAGCCAGATCTCTTGTTTGCCAACCTGGTCGGGTGGAGGGCCACGGGAAAGAAATGAAGACCAAAGTGTGAGGGAGGTGCCAGCCCTGGTCCCGGCTGTTCAGGACTGGCTCCTGCCATGTCTCGGTGCAGGAAAGGAAACCGCCGTTTTCTGGACAGGGAAGCGGTGTGTCCCGAGTCCAGGCCTTGCCTTCCAGGCAGAAGCCTGGGTTCCACAGTGGGGGCTCCTGTGTCCCTCTGAGACAGACCAGTTCCAGTGGAGCTTCCAGACTAAAGCTCGGAAGAAATGTCTGGTGACCTTATTCCAAAAATCAGCCAAAGAGCCTTACCGATGACCGCAGCCTGATCCCTAACCTGGTCACGGGGATGGTGCAGGACCGGGCAGTGTTCCATCCCACAGTGCACAGGGTTCTCCAGAGACAGCGGGAGGGGAGGCCTCGTAGCAGCCAAGATTGATATCTCTGCATGGAGCGCATGGGTGGGGCCAGTGGCTAACTCACTCCGGGGAGTGGGAACCAAGGCCTTGATAGCAAATGTTTCTGGAAATCCGCTGGAGAGAACCTTCTAGAGCAAGGCTGTCTGGTCATACATGGCTGTGGGTGACACGGGCTTGGGTGGCATTTTGTTCCATTGTGTGAGCGCTCCGCACTTGCCGGGGCCAGCTCAGTAGCAGTTAAAAACTGCTGCCTAGTGCTCACTTCGGCAGCCCAGATACTAAAAAAAAAAATTGGAACGATACAGAGAAGATTAGCATGGCCCCTGCGCAAGGATGACATGCAAATTTGTGAAGCGTTCCATTAAAAAAAAAACAAAAAAAACCTGCTGTCCAGATGAGGAAGGGGGCGCAGAGAGGCAAAGCTACTTCCCTGCAGTCACACAAGAAGGGCTTGGTGGTCAAGGTCAACCCTGGGGTGGCCTTCAGGGAGCTTTCAGAGGGGCTGCTATCCTGGCTAGTGCTGTGCCCAGCAAGCAGGACTACTCAACTGACTCACAGGGAGGAGGGGGGGCTCTCTGTGGATGCTTCTAGCCAGTGGGGTCCAGGTACCTGTGCTGTGCCAGTCCCACCACTGACCCTGGCTAGGGGAATCTGGCCTGTGTCTCCAGCAACGCCCTCCTGCTCCCACAGGTGAAGTGGCTGAGCAGAAAGGAGAGCCCCATAGACATCCTTGGCTGTGACTTGGCTTGATCTCCGTGTGGAGCCATGGCTGGGCCCCGGCCCTGGGCCGTGTGCAGGAGCAGAGTCATTTATGCAAGGGGACATGAGCCCAGGCTTCCTAGTCAGATGACATCAGCTGCCTCCACCCCTCAGCACACAGCCAGGACACCTGCAACCCCGAGTATTCGCACGCAATAAGTCCTGGTCCAGCTCCAGGTCACCGCCTTGGTCTACTCTCCCTCTGGTACCCACGTGGCTCCCTCTAACTTTCCCCGGGTCTCAGGTCAAACATCACCTCCTTTGAGATACTGTGGAGCCAAAATTCCACCCCAATCCCAACCCGTACGCGCGCACGTGCACACACACTTCCTAGCACCTTCCATGCCTATTGTTCTTTCTGTGCCCTCTCACAACACGGGCTCTCTGGGTGGTGACAATGGCTTCTGCTTGCCCACTAACCCAAAGCCTGGCAGCTCAAACCCACCCAATGGTGCTGACCAAGAAAGTCCTGGTGAAATGCTTCCTTTGTTCCCCCCAACAATAGCAAAAGGCCATGGCTATCAAGCCAACCCTGACCCATGGCAACCCACGTACTACAGAGTGAAACTGGTCCAGGGTGTTTTCTTGGCAGAAGCAGACTGCCGGAACTTTCTTCGGCAACACAGAGAGGAAAATAGCCGCTGTGTTCTCCTTCTTGTCTATTCTGCAGCACAGAGTGGATTGAAACAGCCTCCCAGTCTCCTGGAGCAAACCTTTGCCTCCCACGGACCCAAGACAGCCCCATGGGACTATGTTCTCCTCTGTGACACACGGGCTCACCAGGAGTCCTATCCCAACACATGATAATGATACTTCATGATCTTGCTTATGCCGTGTTCCTGTCACACACACAGACAAACACACACACAGGAAGCCGCTGAAGGCAGGCCTTGGGTCTGTCCTGCTGCGGCTGCATCCCAGTTGCCTAGACCTTGACAGTGTCTGCCCTGCAGACCAAGGTGACGCCAGGAAGATGTGTACAGGGGACACCCTGGGGGGCCCCGCTGGAGGGCCCCCGCTGGTCCAGAGACCTGAGTAGAGGAATGATTGTCACTTGTCCTCTAAGTCTGCTCACTCACCCAAAGCCGTAAAACCCTGGAATGAACCTTAAGCCCCTGCTGGCCCCCAGACAGGAGCCCTGGTGGCGGGAGGGCCTGGAGGCAGCAGGGCTGGTGGGAGTGGCCGGGCAGCCGACCTCGGGCCGAGAGGGCCACGATGGCCCAGACTGGACACAGCGAGGGCCGCGATCTCATGCCCGCGCCTGTCACCCGTAGGATTACTGCAAGGTAGGCAGTATCTCTGTGTAAAGTTACAATCTTGGCAACCCATGGGGCCAGCTAGCTCTTCCCTATGAGTTGGCATCCACTGGATCGCAGTGAGTTTGGGGTTGGGGTTGGGCCTCAGGTTTCCCGGGAGGGATGGCTGGGAAGCGGGTTGCACCGTGCAGGTTTCATAGAGGCAATAAACACCGGCACCAGGGGAATGGGCCAGTGGTCTCTCTCTCCATGAACCCCCAAAGTTCTCCCCAGGTTTGGATCCCCTCAGAAGAGGCGGCCCAGCTCCCTCACCTAGCAAGGGGCTTAAAGGCAACGGGGTCTATTTCTTCAACCATCCTGGGCTCCAGGGACAACCCTCCCATGGAAAATCAGCGATTTCGGGGACCCAGTCTCGCCATCCTCCAGCGGTCTTAAGAACCATGCAAGGGCCTTGGACAAAGAGCGCCCCAACCATGAGGGTGCTGCGGGCGGAGGATCTCCCCACCAAGGAGGCCTGGGGGGGGAGCCCCTCTCCGCCCCGCAAGCTCGCAGCAGGAATCTGGGGGAGCTGTGTGGCCGCGTGAGTGTCAGGGTCCTGGGTCCCCTCCTGACAAGAGCGGGCGCGAATCCCTGCGCGTCCCGCGGCTGTTATGCACGGCTGTTATGCACGCCTGTTGACGCCGTCGCCCGGG